AATGTTTGTTTATTGCAGCAATAATATGCAGCAGTTTTGCCAGGTTCCCCTAATGATTTGCTGATACTGAATTAATTACTCTGTCTTGGCCAAGAACACAACACAAACAACCCTCACCAACACTAGCACTTGATCTGGAGTCCATCGTGTCATTCAGCCGTGATTGCGTTCCCCATTCCCTGCCCCATGACGTCAAAGTGGTGAGGGATTAATTTTAGTATTAATTTAAAACAATTATAGATAGAAAATTTTAAATTTACCTGTGTCTCCCATCCAAATATATTTGAATAGAAACAGAACCACCCTTGTGCAATATAAATTCTTCCTTGAAGTAGGATTTCACGACTTAGCGCACATGAGAAATCTAAAAAGAAAATCACCACATTGGCAACAAAAATTATAGTTCATTTTATACTTCATTTTAACTGTTTTCTTTAAAAAAGGGGGGTCCAGTAGTCAAAAACGTGAGGATAAATAGGAGGTTTTTCTTTAATATTCAAGTTATTCATAGACAGTAGAATTTATTTCAAATTGATAAGTTTTAGACAATACATGCACAAAAGGCTTAGTTTTGAGGAAGACATGTTTCAATATCCTCTAGCATCATTGTCATTTATCAGAAAGAATTACAAAGTTAAATATGGATTATGTCTATTCATGGACATAAAATTGCTGAGAAAAAATTAATGGAGACAATACTGCAAAAGACTATGAGAACTAACATGTCACAAGTCAAAAGAGCTCTAAATTATATATTAAGTATGTTAAACATGTTTCAACTGGTGGTTCAGAGGAGGCTTTTTTCCATAGGATTTGACAAGAATCTTTTATCTGAATTGGAAGGGTTAATAAATAAAACAAGTTCAAAAACCCTTGCAACACCAGAAAATGGACAGCAATAGATGTCAACACAGTCATTTTGTAAAAAAACATAAGAAAACCTGTCCACTAATAATTATTAATAACTATTATAAGCATAATATTGATAAAGAATTTGTATATAATTAGTACCATTTATTGGGAACTGGTCCATTGGAACATTTTTAAAGAGGCGGTGGAATTCTTCATAAGGAGTCCGTGTTGACAGTAGAGACTGCAAATAAAGACCAAATGTATTAAAATTGGCAGACACATGAGGACATGAGGACAAGTCCCTTTGTGTGTATACATGCATAGGACACATGTTGCAGGGGTATTATGCAGGATGTTGCACATGAAGTGGATTGAGGCACAAAAGTGTGTTGTGCATAGAAGGGACAGTATGCAAGAGCAGTGCACAGAATGTGACATTGAAAACTGAGGTTATTTTTGTCTCTGCTTCACAAGGCATGAGTTCAAACCAGCTGAGTTTTATACAACATGCGAGAAGCAAGTAATAGTGTAGAGGCCAACAGCTGTACTTGTTTTCATCAGAAAACCAGCTTGTTTCTCAAGCTGACATCACGGAAATGACATTCACTGTTGGGCTATCTACCAATTTGATACTGCTAGTAGACAAGTAAATTTTGTCCTTAAATATGTTGTTTGAGATAACATTGTACAGGACCAGGTATTTACAATGTGTAGAGATGTAACGTTTTGAAACAATAGCCAGCCAAGAAAAGTACATTGCATAGAATAAGCAGTACTCTTTCTCAGATGAGTGTAGAGCACTTGGCTGTTCAAACATTATTCATTTTGAGATCAAACTTCATAGTGTTTGTTATATTCATGTATTGCAGAGCTTCTAACAATGTTGTTTTTAAATATTTACAACAAAGTTAATAATACTCAAACAGTACTCATGAAGGTAATACTGAAGTGACATCACTGTACTGCACCCGCAACTGACTTGATGATTTAATTATTAAGCAGCACTTCAGTCATGTTTGAAATAACCAAATTATATATGATGGAACTACTTTCATCACGATCCAAAATATTTTAAAAGAGGTATCTCCCCTTAGAGGTGACAATCAAAACTTAATAGTAATTGTCTCTTTGCTTTGAACATTATTGCCATCTATTTTTAACCCAAAGCAATATTATTTTGCCTCCAAATTATTTTAAAATTTTAGAGAGATATCTGAGTCCCACCTTTCATAAACAGCACCACTGATATATTGTTATTACAATAATAAAAAAATGAAATTAAAAAAACTTCATATTATCAACACTTTTCCCTAAATTTCAGAATGGATGTTGTAGGGTCAGATTTTTTTTTAAATTATTCCAAGTTCACATCACATTACTGACTTGAATTCATAATTATAATTATTATATTTTTTCTGCTAAAACTATCCAACCATTTTCCTGCACATCATATCAAAACTTAATATTTGTTATGTTGGGTCAAATAAATTGTCTGAGTGTAAGAAAGAAGCAAAGTAAGATACATTTCCCTCCCTCATACAAACTGAGAATTAAAATTATGCAAATAAAAAACCACCAGCTTGTGCAATTAACACCGAGAGAGATCCATACCATCAAACCAAAAATATTGACTTCAAGCTAAAGTTCTCAAAATGTCAATGGAGATCAATAGTTTAAGTATAATACCTGTAACTGAATGTATATGGGCACAGAGAATTTACATGTATACACACTCAAGATATAAAAATATTGAAAGGAGAAACTTTGTTTACACATAGCACGACAGGTAGATTTTGAGAACTCAATACCACAATATACTGCAGCAATACTGTTTAATTTCAAGTCATAATGATTATGACTATCGCAATGTTCAAAATCACACGTGTTGGCAAAAATTAAGTTCAGAAGAATGCTTTCGAAAATATTTTAAAATTAAATTAAAATGTACAAACTAAGCTGCAGTCACCCATTTTGTGTAATGTAAGAATCCACGAGCTAAAATGCACTTATTCATAACAATATGTCCATAAATACTGCATAGAAAATGTCTCAACACTGAGATGGCTATTTCATAGAAGCCTTATGGGAAAAATTGAATTCTTGTAGCAATTCAACAAAAATGCATCACAACAAAAACTAACATCAGAGAGATGTTTTTAAAACATTTCAAAATGTGGATAGCACCTTACATGATTAAAGTTTCCCTTCTTTAATAAATAATTCAAGGCACTGCAATCCAGGAGAAGTGATACCCCAACGATTCTCAAAATGAGAATCCCATAATTTCAAGAATCAAACTGCTGTGCCAAGTCCAAATGTGTACGGGCTTCACAAATGAAAGAAAGACGAAAAATTCTGACACTTGTAATTTACATTTTGATTTAAAAACTGTCAGAGTGCGTTTACGAAGCTATGACACATCACTTGAATACTATGCGACATCTTCATTTTTTCCTAAGAGGAAGTTAGTCAGCCTTGCACAAATTTCACAGAATATCGGCTAAAATCTGTACGCTATCTGACTAAAACTTCATAACTGGCTTTAAGTACACACTTCAGAAATGAGAAATATTTTTTTCAAGGTTTGCAACAAATTGGAAAATACTCAGGCACAAGACTCAGTCAGTACTAACTCATTCTTAGCAACGGTTGAAGGACAATTCAGTCAGCTATGTATAATTTCAGCTAAACCTACAACTTCCATCTGTGGAAACACCACCATTATGACTTCATGGAACAAGATATGTTGTATTCAATTTACCCATCTGTTTTGTGAATTTGCTCCCTTCCTTCTGCCTTTGTTTGTGATCTGAAAGGTATCATCCTTAGATCTCCCAAATACAGAATTCCGTCTTCTCAATTTTCTCTTGCCTGGATTCATACTCCTGGCAGCAAAACCCTTCCGTATTTTGTCACAGCAAATTGCAATCCAAGAGACATACTGGATACTCCTCAAACGATAGACAAGCCTAGTCGAAATTATTTCACGAGTGGATGATGATTTATTCAAGCCTAGGATAAACTCTGTCAGTAGGAAGTGACCACAGAGAGCACAGAATGTACTGTGATTGGCTAGAAACAACTGCAGGTGGAGATTAACAATAGGCAGACACATTCATAAAGTAAACTGTTTTGCGTAAGAAAGAACCCAATAGAAATTCTGGCAGTTAGAAACAAAAAAAACTCTCTCATATTTAGAGTTATCACACAACTATTCATGTACCACTGTGTTTGAAATGAATCAATCCAAAAATAAAGTTAAAGCTGCACAAGACAAAACAAAAGTGTTTAGTGAAGAATTTCCTTGAATGTCTATATTGTGTAGGAGAGATAGCAAAAATTTAATTTCACAACAACAATTATAATAACGCATCAGATTCATATCCACTTCTAAACAAAGTTGCCGCGTATAAAGGAAAACATCTTATATGACACCTCTATAACACGTGACGGACAAGAACAATTAAAATGCAAATTTTCTTTATTTTGTGGAAGTTAATTGTTATGTTAGCAACACCTGCATATTATAATATGGTGTTAATAATTTATTATTTTCAGTAATATCTTACACAGCTGAATTCTTGACTAGCAAATCAGAAGGGTCCTTTTAATGTCCAGAACAAACTCAATCCCCTTGCAGTAAAATTTTGCTGGCCTTCCAAGAGAAATTTGAAACCCTAACTAAACTTATACTGGTGTAACAATGGCCTTTTTGCATCAAAAATTATTTTAATTATTAATTGCAAAAAAATATTAGCCAGAAACAGAATGCAAGTTGTGATCATGTTCATTTCAAACATTATGGCAAGTAAGAGGGAGAAAACATATTCCACTAGAATGCAACAACTATTATTTGTATATAATATGTATATTTTAGCAAGCAATTTATGATCATTCATAGCTACAGGTTATTGTGACTTTGAGGTGACTTCAAGTTCTAACTCAATTAATTTTGGTTCACCACACAAATTCAACTTCATTACAAGTTATTAGTAAATTTACATACATCAGTATATATTTATTGTTTAATTTTATTAACAACACACTCCCATCAACAAAAAAATTAATGATCAACAAAAAAGAGAGAATATTAAGCAATTTGAAAGTAACTTTCACTGCAGGCAGATCCATATAGAAGGTAAGCAGATTCAGTCCTGATAAATTTGCAAATAAAAATCACCATATTTTGAAGATTTTCAGTAAAAGAGGACAACAGGTAGAAAAAAAGGGGAGGGAAGAGAAGGGAGAAAATGTTAATATGAAAACGGGAAAGAAAAGAGCAAATTATGGATGGTAAGCTAGTCTATCAAAGAGTTACACCCAGCATTAATTGAATTCACTGCTACCCATGCATTTATACACCTGGTCGGAGAGAGGCACTGTGAGAGTAAAGTGTCTTGCCTAAGTACGCAACACAACGTCCCTGGCCAGGGTTCGAACCCAGAACAATGACCATTACCCAGCATGTAAAGAAAGTTGTGTTCAATGGCTTGGGTCTGGTGGACATTCTGTCCTTCACTTGCCCAATGGGCATGAGGAATTTCTTAGAAAAAAAGTTTTGGGGAAATTCATATCAAATTTGAAACTTGTGAGTTTGAAACTTTTGGAGCAGTAAATCATAGTAACATCCTGCCCAAAAGGGCANGGATAAGCTCCAGCCTGATAAGTCACTTAGCTCGTATGCAGACTTTACCTTACCTTACCTAAAAGTAATTCATTAATCAGTAAAACTGCACAGATCCCATCACATTATTTCTACAATATTGCTGCAAAGTTAGTTTTCAATAATCTTATGACTATGAAAGGATGTAAACAATTCAGAACGCCAGTCAAAGTTCTCAGAGCAACTGTCCAAGAGCAAAACACATGCAAATTTAGTTACGTAATTGTTTCATTGGCTTAACCAAACTACGTGTAAGTAAACACTTTTAATTTGTTTGCCAAACTTGGCAATTAATTTGCCTCCTTAGGGGAAAATTAAGGGGCTTCAGGAAGATTGCAAGGCGTCGCATCTCAAACTCTTAAATGTTTACAACAAACCCATGCAATTTTACAACAGATTTAGTTGCCTACATCTTAAGATCTACTTCGTCAAAACTAATTTTCTAACAAGTTTTCAAAACAACGTGGTTGCATTTGATATTGTCCTTGTTAGCTCTCATTCCACAATGACAAAGCAAATTGCATTAACGTGTTACAAGTAACCAAGTAACGGGCAGTATTGTAAACGGCGAAATAAATGACTGATCGATGAATGCAATCGTGTGCAAGTTTTCATACCTTATTAGAAGAAGAACGCGTACGCGCATTTAACTTGAGCATGTCTTGTAAAATCCATGGAACATATTTGATTTTTTTTGCCAGCTGTTTGTAGTTCTTTGGTTTGCCGGAGAACCCTATTTTTCTTGTATTCACGTGACTTTTGCTGCCTCGCTCCATTTAATTTATCAAGCGCACCAGTGTGTGGCAACCACGCAAACACTGAATGTATAATTAAACGACAGAGTTGTACGCGTCTAAATCCGTTCAAAATTACCAGCAAACGCCAAACGTAAAGAAAGCTATTAAGGATGTACGGAAACTTTTATATCTGCATTCTGTGGCTAGTTTTTCTAAGAGGATTAAGCAATATCAACAAAGCAGTGTCCCGAGATAGTATTTGCTTGCCACGATCGAACGATTTGACGCGACATCACCTCAGCTGACAAGCGGGTGATCACGCCACCTGCAGACAATTGGCTGTCACAGCTGAATTTACTTCCGGTTTTCGTGTACTTCATTAAATTCGCTGCAGAACAGATAAAAACTCTAAAACACTCGATTCCACTTGCCTGTGAGAGTGAAGCGGTGTCATCCAAGTCCGACTGCGATTTTTCACTGAGGAGAAAGCGAAAACAAAGTTAGTCTTACAGAATATTTGCATTTATTGCCTTGCAGCTGTGAGTCCGTGACGGAAAAAAACTATCGCACGATCGCGTGTGGTTAACACGAATGCCCTGAGACAATATACGGAGAGCATAAACGGAAAAAGCTTCTCAAGAGCATGTTAATTAACTCATTTAGCTTCCAATTTGAGTGAAATAACTGCATGTAGTTTTGCATTTTCACGCTTGAAATATTTCAATGAATGCCGACAACGTTTGCATACACAATGAGCTTCAATTTTAATTTTTCGTTGGTATGAACGGCACGTTCAAAATGAACAAGTGTATTAAAACCTCTGATTTAATAGGCAAATTAATGTTGCAAACGAACCTTTGAATTCTCCCTCTGTAATCTACCTCGGGAATTTCGCCATTTACTTCATCTGCAAACCTGAAAAATAAAACATAAACGCTCACAGGTTGTGTGAACATTGGGACATTTATAAGAACCGTGAGACACATTTCAAATTTGCATGCAATCTCTTACGTTTCAAATTCATTGAAGCAACTCATCGAGCTCGTAGACTCGTTGACTTCTGCATCTGTTCCAGAAACGCTTTCCATGGGACCACACGGCTGAAGCCTGGATTTCGGGTGAACTTCTTTTTCTACAAATAAAATAGCAAGAAAAAAATCCATCACACACTGCTGATTTCCCGCGAAGTTCGCGCGCAATGTGACAAGTAACGCACGCTTGTCTCACTTTTAACACTCTTTCTTCTCCCGTTATACCCTAGCTTCTCATGACGGAAAACTTTCAGCTGCACCAGGGAAAGTTTCATTTTTCATGCGATACAGTGATCAAGCTAAATGATCAACTCGGTACTGAACATTGCGGAACTTGATTTATCGCATTAGTCCTGCAGGAAATAAATTATTCACTCCGTGTGTCGTATCACGATCTCCACATGGATAATGATTTCAACTTTTCGCGGAAAAAGCGGAAGTCGATATGACGATGACGCATGTGGTTCTTATGCAATAAACACCCGGATAAAAAAGCTCTTGACATAGGCATTGGGCCATATCGGCTTTGAAGATGCAAATTGTTTACTTTCAGAACTGCATGAATGTTCATTAACCTACATTGACTGAAACGAGTTACACTACGCCAATTACACATCTTTCATGTTTTTCGAGTTTTGACAAATGTTTAGTGTTTAATCAACTTTCCATACCAAAAAAACAAAACAAAAAACAATTCATATCGGCTTAGAAAAACCTTCAGTTGATGTAGTGAAACAGAAATGCGGTAGAAATTATTGGCAACGAATGGATTTCGCGATATTATACAAACGGGAACTAAACATGCAATAACAAGCAACGCCGACAAAGTTTATTTAATGCTTCTAGGAATTTAGATGTCAACAGCTCTTTTCCTTTCCATGAATCTAACTACAAAGCCAAAGGGCAACTTCATATCTGATTAATATCCAAACATCGAGAAATTTTATTGGGAAACGCAATTTGGTGATTCGGCAACACAAAGCCGGTTATAAAAGGTTAACTCGCATCTTTAAAGACGCTCATTTTTCACAACAACCCAAAAACCTACCGTGAAGAATTCAGACCTCTTTGAATTAACCCAACAAGCCGTCCGGACAGTTATAATCTCCTAAAACATCTCAGTTAGCTCTCACAATGATTCCAAATCCAAGATGGGCGACAGAGGAAGAGAAATTAAAGTTACTTCATTTAAAATGCGGGCTTTTCCCTGATTGGCCAGTTTTGACAGTGGGACAAATAACCTTCAGCGCGGAGAACAGGTGGAACTACACAAAGAAAAACGTCAGAGTAACACTAACCCAGGATATAAATTGCGGAGCGCGCAAATAAATTTTGCGAGGCGTTTAATAAACCATATGCAAATACTGAATGTTTATCCCTGATTATTATTGAAATTGGTATGCTTAACGTTTGACAGCAAAGAGATTAGTTCCACACTGAAAATGAAGTCCGTGAATTAATGAGTTCGCTTCTGAGAGTTGTTGAGCCATTTTCATAACCCAAANGGATAAGCTCCAGCCTGATAAGTCACTTAGCTCGTATGCAGACTTTACCTTACCTTACCTAAAAGTAATTCATTAATCAGTAAAACTGCACAGATCCCATCACATTATTTCTACAATATTGCTGCAAAGTTAGTTTTCAATAATCTTATGACTATGAAAGGATGTAAACAATTCAGAACGCCAGTCAAAGTTCTCAGAGCAACTGTCCAAGAGCAAAACACATGCAAATTTAGTTACGTAATTGTTTCATTGGCTTAACCAAACTACGTGTAAGTAAACACTTTTAATTTGTTTGCCAAACTTGGCAATTAATTTGCCTCCTTAGGGGAAAATTAAGGGGCTTCAGGAAGATTGCAAGGCGTCGCATCTCAAACTCTTAAATGTTTACAACAAACCCATGCAATTTTACAACAGATTTAGTTGCCTACATCTTAAGATCTACTTCGTCAAAACTAATTTTCTAACAAGTTTTCAAAACAACGTGGTTGCATTTGATATTGTCCTTGTTAGCTCTCATTCCACAATGACAAAGCAAATTGCATTAACGTGTTACAAGTAACCAAGTAACGGGCAGTATTGTAAACGGCGAAATAAATGACTGATCGATGAATGCAATCGTGTGCAAGTTTTCATACCTTATTAGAAGAAGAACGCGTACGCGCATTTAACTTGAGCATGTCTTGTAAAATCCATGGAACATATTTGATTTTTTTTGCCAGCTGTTTGTAGTTCTTTGGTTTGCCGGAGAACCCTATTTTTCTTGTATTCACGTGACTTTTGCTGCCTCGCTCCATTTAATTTATCAAGCGCACCAGTGTGTGGCAACCACGCAAACACTGAATGTATAATTAAACGACAGAGTTGTACGCGTCTAAATCCGTTCAAAATTACCAGCAAACGCCAAACGTAAAGAAAGCTATTAAGGATGTACGGAAACTTTTATATCTGCATTCTGTGGCTAGTTTTTCTAAGAGGATTAAGCAATATCAACAAAGCAGTGTCCCGAGATAGTATTTGCTTGCCACGATCGAACGATTTGACGCGACATCACCTCAGCTGACAAGCGGGTGATCACGCCACCTGCAGACAATTGGCTGTCACAGCTGAATTTACTTCCGGTTTTCGTGTACTTCATTAAATTCGCTGCAGAACAGATAAAAACTCTAAAACACTCGATTCCACTTGCCTGTGAGAGTGAAGCGGTGTCATCCAAGTCCGACTGCGATTTTTCACTGAGGAGAAAGCGAAAACAAAGTTAGTCTTACAGAATATTTGCATTTATTGCCTTGCAGCTGTGAGTCCGTGACGGAAAAAAACTATCGCACGATCGCGTGTGGTTAACACGAATGCCCTGAGACAATATACGGAGAGCATAAACGGAAAAAGCTTCTCAAGAGCATGTTAATTAACTCATTTAGCTTCCAATTTGAGTGAAATAACTGCATGTAGTTTTGCATTTTCACGCTTGAAATATTTCAATGAATGCCGACAACGTTTGCATACACAATGAGCTTCAATTTTAATTTTTCGTTGGTATGAACGGCACGTTCAAAATGAACAAGTGTATTAAAACCTCTGATTTAATAGGCAAATTAATGTTGCAAACGAACCTTTGAATTCTCCCTCTGTAATCTACCTCGGGAATTTCGCCATTTACTTCATCTGCAAACCTGAAAAATAAAACATAAACGCTCACAGGTTGTGTGAACATTGGGACATTTATAAGAACCGTGAGACACATTTCAAATTTGCATGCAATCTCTTACGTTTCAAATTCATTGAAGCAACTCATCGAGCTCGTAGACTCGTTGACTTCTGCATCTGTTCCAGAAACGCTTTCCATGGGACCACACGGCTGAAGCCTGGATTTCGGGTGAACTTCTTTTTCTACAAATAAAATAGCAAGAAAAAAATCCATCACACACTGCTGATTTCCCGCGAAGTTCGCGCGCAATGTGACAAGTAACGCACGCTTGTCTCACTTTTAACACTCTTTCTTCTCCCGTTATACCCTAGCTTCTCATGACGGAAAACTTTCAGCTGCACCAGGGAAAGTTTCATTTTTCATGCGATACAGTGATCAAGCTAAATGATCAACTCGGTACTGAACATTGCGGAACTTGATTTATCGCATTAGTCCTGCAGGAAATAAATTATTCACTCCGTGTGTCGTATCACGATCTCCACATGGATAATGATTTCAACTTTTCGCGGAAAAAGCGGAAGTCGATATGACGATGACGCATGTGGTTCTTATGCAATAAACACCCGGATAAAAAAGCTCTTGACATAGGCATTGGGCCATATCGGCTTTGAAGATGCAAATTGTTTACTTTCAGAACTGCATGAATGTTCATTAACCTACATTGACTGAAACGAGTTACACTACGCCAATTACACATCTTTCATGTTTTTCGAGTTTTGACAAATGTTTAGTGTTTAATCAACTTTCCATACCAAAAAAACAAAACAAAAAACAATTCATATCGGCTTAGAAAAACCTTCAGTTGATGTAGTGAAACAGAAATGCGGTAGAAATTATTGGCAACGAATGGATTTCGCGATATTATACAAACGGGAACTAAACATGCAATAACAAGCAACGCCGACAAAGTTTATTTAATGCTTCTAGGAATTTAGATGTCAACAGCTCTTTTCCTTTCCATGAATCTAACTACAAAGCCAAAGGGCAACTTCATATCTGATTAATATCCAAACATCGAGAAATTTTATTGGGAAACGCAATTTGGTGATTCGGCAACACAAAGCCGGTTATAAAAGGTTAACTCGCATCTTTAAAGACGCTCATTTTTCACAACAACCCAAAAACCTACCGTGAAGAATTCAGACCTCTTTGAATTAACCCAACAAGCCGTCCGGACAGTTATAATCTCCTAAAACATCTCAGTTAGCTCTCACAATGATTCCAAATCCAAGATGGGCGACAGAGGAAGAGAAATTAAAGTTATTTCATTTAAAATGCGGGCTTTTCCCTGATTGGCCAGTTTTGACAGTGGGACAAAATAACCTTCAGCGCGGAGAACAGGTGGAACTACACAAAGAAAAACGTGAGAGTAACACTAACCCAGGATATAATTTGCGGAGCGCGCAAATAAATTTTGCGAGGCGTTTAATAAACCGTATGCAAATACTGAATGTTTATCCCTAATTATTATTGAAATTGGTATGTTTAACGTTTGACAGCAAAGTCCGTGAATTAATGTGTTCGCTTCTGAGAGTTGCTAAGTCATTTTCATAACGCAAAAGACAGCGTTTAATGTAACAAAAAAGGTAGTCTTGAAACTTAACCCAACATTATCAATTATTGACAAGCGTGCATTGGCTTAGAGACGATAATAGGAAAACCTGAATTCATCTTTACGTAAGCGGGAATATCCTAAAATAATGTTAAACAAGAAAATACGAAATCTTGTTCATTTTATTTTGAAAAAACAAAATCAAAAAAGAAAAAACATACCGTTTGAGATTTAAAGATTTACAATGACCGAGATACATGCAGTGGTCACCAGGCCAACCATAACACTGGAAATGTAGTATGCGATAATTGAGTGAGATTTAGTAATACTGGATGGGAAATCCCCAAATCTTTTTGACCGGCCAGTGCTGGGTCACATGGGCGATAGGGCTCTACACGGAGCCATATGGGCTCATCGCATGTTCCATGACACTACTTGGACGTCCTGCTACTCTAAAATCTTTAGAACTGTACATACCCATTCAAAGTGAAAAGTCTTCCCTACCCAGATCTACCCATTCAAGGGTTGGGAGAAGAGGCCATAGTTGTTTAGTGCTACAGAACCCTGGATGAGCTTACGCTGCTCCATGAGCCATGTGGCCCAGAAGTTGACATATTTTGTGTTGCATTGCATACCTATCCTCTCTCATCTGAAGCATCTGACTTCATTCCATATTCCTGGCCTAATCTTGAATGACAAACACTAATACTAGACTGCCAGTAATCTAACAGAGGAAACAAGGAAGGGAAAAGACCATTCTCTAATCACAACAAAAAGACGTAAGACTAAGAGGGCAATATAAGGTTGATTTTGGCGGAGGAGCTCAAGAAGGATCAGTTTTCCTATAGAGCTGATTGTGACATTTCTTTAATAATGGACTCTGAAAAAACAGTATATCATACACGCACACAGCAAAACAGCAATAAGGATTGAGACTCGAGAAACACTTATCTTTGATTCTGATGGACTTGGTTGGGCTAGAATCGACTTGATCTTCAGTTTTCTTTACAATTTCTAGTGCTAACAGAAGAACGGCAAGAACTAAATGGCAACCACTGCACCCTTTTCAGGAGGGGTAGCACTCTCACATAAAAATGGTAGTGA